CCCCCGGGATCCGCCCGAAGGAAAACCTCTCCCAGAGTCCCTCCCACGCGGGCTGAGAACAAGTGGAGGTTCTCTGCAGATGATCTCCAGAAGCTCAAGTACTACCTGGAGGAGGAGCACATTCCTTTGGACACTGCCAGTAAGATCATGGAATGGGTTGGGTGGGAAGGGACCTTAAGGATCGTCCGGTTCCAACCCCAAACCTTCCGCTGTCCCGGATTGCTCCGACTGCCCATCCTGGCCTTGGACACTTCCAGGATGGGGTGTCCACAGCTCCTTCCCAGGGCAACCAGTGGTGTGACCGTGGGTTGTTTTTCCCCCCCAGGCCGCCTGAGCCGTGGCATTTCCAGCCGGGATTCCAAGCCCACGTCCATGAGGAGCAGCCCCAACCTCCACGGCTCCAACGCGGGGTCCCTCAGCTCCCGCACGCTCAGCAGGACCAGCCTCCAGAACAGGCCCTGGAAATAACCGGTGGGGTCTCCTCCCACCGAATAAAGGATTATCCAGGTTTTGGGAATACCCTGAGCAGTGCAGCCCCTTTGTGGTTTTAGGAATCCGCAGGGAAAAGCAGCCGGAGGTGTGGAAAAGGCAGCTCGGGTCAGGCTTGGAGAGCTGGAATGGGGTTTCCTGGAGGCAGGAATTGTCATCCCACAGGTTTGTAGGGTTGGGAGCAAACTGGTAGTGAAGTCTGGGACCAGTAGGAACTTCCACCAAGCTTTTAGTCCAGGGGAATGGAATTTGCATCCGTGACATTCCCTGGAGCCACCTGTGGACACACACGGAGGTGAAGGGGCCAGAACTGTCCTGGGAGAACAAACAGGAGACAAAGACACTCAGCAAGTTGCCAAAATGGAGAAAAGATCCTTAAAAAGGGTTTTTTTTTTTGGGGGGTATTTTAATTAAATTATGATAATGAACAGAAGTATTTCTAATAAAGGTGTTTTTGGAAATCAGCCCAAGGTGGTGCTGGGACCTGAGGGTTGTGTTTGCTCCTGGACACTTGGAACTGTTGCGTCTTTTTCTGGAAGTTTATTCCCAGAATAAACTTCTTTCATCTTTCCCAGAGGTTTTTTTAGGAGCTTCTTTTGAGGTTTTGGTGGCTCAAGGGGAAATTTCCTTGCTGCTGTTGAACCGGGATCCCTAAATCCCAGCAGGGACCTGGAATGTGGAGCTGAGCAAGGGTGAGGGTTTCCTGGAAAATGAGAGGCACGGTTTTCCTTCTGGGAATCATCTGGTTTTCCCTGGTGACAAAGCAGAGCTGCCTGAGTGAGGCTTAGGAAAGACCTGCTCTTTAGTCTTGACTTACAGCCTTGCTGAGCCTGGTCCAGCCTTGATTATCGTGGGGGTTTTGTGTGGTTTTTTGGATTTCAGTGCTTTCTTCCCCCTCTTTTTGAAGCAGAAAATGTTCAAACCCCCCCCAAAATTCACTGGTGATTTTGGGATAATTCTGGTGAAAGGGCAAAGGGGGAGGAATTGCACAGAATTCCCAGTTTGGAAGGTTAAGGCTCATCATCCCCCGAGCGCTTTTATGATGATTGTTGTGTCTCTGAGTGGTCAGTCAGATGATTCCTGACTCCAGGAATGGAAGTTTTAGTCTGTTAAGAGCCATATCCTTGGGCTTCTCTGGGAAAGAGGGAGTAGATCCACACAAAATTGGGATTCTGTGTCAGGATCATCCATAGGGAAAGTAAAATAAATAAATCAAAGCTAAATGATGCTTCTGAAGGAGTTTGGTGTTGAAGCACCACCGAAATATCCCCCATTTGGCTTTGGAAGTTGGGATATGACTTGTGCAGCAGCTCCATTTTTATGTTGTAGTGGAAAACATGGAATAAAGCAGCATCTCCTGCATAATTGAGGAAAATGATCCCCCCTCTCCCCAGAGCTGGATGTGCACAGGGAAGGGGAGATCCAAGGGAGCCCCAGGACAAGAGGGAACGGCCTCAAGTTGTGCCAGGGGAGGTTCAGGTTGGATAGCTGGGAAAGTTCCATCATGGAAAGGCTGCCCAGGGCAGTGGTGGAGTCCTCGTGCCTGGAGGGATTTAAAATCCCTGTGGATGTGGCACTGGAGGACGTGGATTTGTGGTGGCCTTGGCAGTGCTGAGAATGGTTGGACTCGATGATCTCAGAGGGCTTTTCCAACCCAAAGGATTCCCTGATTTGTTGAGTGCTTGAAATCCAGGGATTGGTACAACACAGAGGGCCCTGTGGGGTGGGAGCAGCTCTGTCACCTCCAGGAGCTCTTGGAATTGTCACTGTGTTGGCTGAAATCCTGGTTTTGCTGCCCATCTCTGGATAGACACTGATCCAGAATCCCTGGTTCCGTGACAACCTCCTCCTATGGAACGGACAGAAGTGGTCTGAGCTGTTTGATATCTCCCAAATCCAGGAATCCAAGGAAGGACTGAAGGACTTTCCCGCTGTCTTGGTGGATTTGGGTGTGTTTGGACTCTTGGTGCTGTTTGGTGGAGAGTCAAGCTCTGTAAATGCTGCGAGGCTTAATTGTTTAATTTAATTAAATGTAAATGACACCAGAAGGTTGAGTGGTTTTGGTGTTGGTTTTTTTTTCCCCAGTTTGAGCTTTGAGAGCTTTGGAGAATCTGTAAAAAGTGGAAGTGGGTAGGGACTGGGCTCCCCTTCCCTGGGGATTACAGGGGCTGAGGAGGGATCATGGAATAGTTTGGATGGGAAGGGACTTAAAACTCGTCCAGTTCCACCCAGGGACACCTTCCACTATCCCAGGTTGCTCCAGCCTGGCCTTGGACACTTCCAGGGATCCAGGGGCAGCCACAGCTTCTCTGGGAAATCCATTTCAGCCCCTCCCCACCCTTCCAGCCACAAATTCCTTCCCAATATCCCATCTCTCCCTGCCCTCTGGCACTGGGAGGCCATTCCCTGTGTCCTGTCCCTCCATCCCTTGTCCCCAATCCCTCTCCAGCCTTGGAGCCCCATAAATCCCGTTGATCCATTGCCTCATATCCCAGAGCCGCTCCAGCTGCCCAGTGCCAAACCAACCCTTTTCCCCTCCCCTCCTATGTCAGAGCAGAGGGAAAACCCCTTCCTTCCTTTTATCCCTGCTATTTTCATGCCCTTTTAATGCCCTTTTCATGCCCTTTTCAGCCCAGCACGCCCTGTTTGCGTTGGCACACACGGGAACACCGGATCTGTCTCCGAAAGGGCTTTTCCACCCGACTTGGGAGAAAGGGAAAACAACAACAAAAAAGCTTTTTCTTTTTCTCATCCATTTATTTATCGGGTTCTTCCCCCCTCTCCAGCTGCCGATCCCGCTCAGTAAATGTTGTCCCGGGCGTGCTCCATGATGACCTTGAGGGCCAGCCAGGTCTCCTCGGCCGTCGGAACGATCTGGTTGGCGGGAAGCAGGAATCCATAACGCCCCGTGTCCCGCAGCTCGAAGGTGAAGGAATATTTGATGCCCTGGTTGTAGGTCCAGTCGACGGTTGATCCGCTCGCTTTGTCTGAGGGAAACCACGGGAGGGGATTTTATGGGATGTTTCATCCTGGCCGTGGTGCGAGGGATGGGCTTTGGGTGGGTTCTGGGGTGGGCTTTGGGTTGGTTTTGGGGTGGATTTTGGGTGAATTTTGGGGTGGGTTTTGGGGAGGCACTCACAGATGGTGGTGATGATGCTCCCGTACGTGTAGCTGGTGCCATACAGGGAGGACAGAGCGGCCACGGCCTTGGCGGAGAGCTCGTTCTGGGAGGGAGCGGGGAGAAAGGTGAGGAAAAGGAGGGAAAATCATAAAGGGGAAAATTGTGAGGGAAAATCATAAGGGAAGATCATGAGGGGAAATTGTGAGGGGAAGATCATGAGGGAAAATCATGAGGGGAAGATTGTTAGGGGAAAATCTTGAGGGGAAATGATGAGGGAAAAATCATAAGGGGAGAATCGTGAGGGGAAAATTGTGAGGGAAAGTCATAAGGGGGAAAATCGTGAGGGAAAAATCATAAGGGAAGATCATGAGGGGAAATTGTGAGGGGAAGATCATGAGGGAAAATCGTGAGGGGGAAATCATGAGGGGAAGATCGTTAGGGGAAAATCTTGAGGGGAAATCGTGAGGGAAAAATCATAAGGGGAGAATCGTGAGGGAAAATCATGAGGGAAGATCTTGAGGGGAAATCGTGAGGGAAGATTGTGAGGGGAAACTTAATGAGGGAAAATCGTGGGGGGAAAATCATCAGGGGAAAATTAATAAGGGAAAATCGTGAGGGGGAAATCATGAGGGGCAGATCTTGAGAGGAAATCATAAGGGGAGAATCGTGGGGGAAAATCATGGGGGAAAATTGTGAGGGGAAAAATCATAAGGGGAGAATTGTGAGGGAAAATCATGGGGGAAAATCATGAGGGAAAATCATGGGGGAAAATCGTGAGGGAAAATCGTGAGGGGAAATCGTGAGGGAAAATCATGGGGGAAAATCGTGAGGGAAAATCGTGGGGGAAAATCATGGGGAAAATTGTGAGGGGAAATCGTGAGCCAAAAGAGGGGAAAAGATGAGGCAGAACAGGGAAAAAGAAGAGAAAAAGGACAGGAAAAGATGAACCAAGAAGGGAAAAGGGTGAGGCAAAGGAGGGGAAAATGATAAGCTGAAGGAGAGAAAATGGTGAGTCAAACGAGGAGAAAAGATGAGCCAAAGGAGGGGGAAATGGTGATGGAAAGGAGGGGAAATGATGAGGCAACGAATGGAAAAAGATGAGTCAAAGAAAGGGAAAAGATGAAACCAAAGGAGGGGAAAGGATGAATCAAAAAAGGGAAAATGATGAATTGAAGAAAGAGGGGAGATAATGAGTCAAAGAGGGTGAAAAGGAGGGAAAAAGATGAGCTAAAAAGGAGGAAAAGATGAGTCAAAGGAGGGGAAGTGGTGAGTTNGTGAGGGGAAATCGTGAGGGGAAATCGTGAGGGGAAATCGTGAGGGGAAATCGTGAGGGGAAATCGTGAGGGGAAATAGTAAGGGAAAATCATGAGGGGAAAATCATGGAGGAAAATCGTGAAGGGAAAATCATGAGGGAAAATCATGAGGGGAAATCATGAGGGGAAATCATGAGCCAAAAGAGGGGAAAAGATGGGTAAACGGAGGGGAAAGGATGCACCAAAGGAGGGAAAAAGATGAGGCAAAACAGGGAAAAAGAGGAGGCAAAGGACAGGAAAAGATGAGCCAAGAAGGGAAAATGGTGAGGCAAAGGAGGGGAAAATGATCTGAAGAAGAGAAAATGGTGAGTCAAAGGATGGAGAAATGGTGATGGAAAGGAGGGGAAATGATGAGGCAGAGAATGGAAAAAGATGAGTCAAAGAAAGGGAAAAGATAAAGCCAAAGGAGGAGAAAGGATGAATCAAAGAAGGGAAAATGATGAATCGAAGAAGGAGGGGAGATAATGAGTCAAAGAGGGTGAAAAGGAGGGAAAAAGATGAGCTAAAAAGGAGGAAAAGATGAGTCAAAGGAGGGGAAGTGGTGAGTTAAAGGAGAGAAAAAGATGAGCCCAGGAAGGGAAAAGATGGAGCCAAAGGAGGGGAAAAGATGAGCCCAGGAAGGGAAAGAATGAGTCAAGGGGAGGGGAAAAGGGAAGAAGATGAGCTAAAAAAGAGGAAAAGGTGAGCCACAGAAGGTCAAAGCCTGTGAGATCCAGCCTGTGGGAGAGGATTTTCCCTCATGCCACAGGCAAAAAGGATCACAAAGCTCAATTCCCAAGGGCTGGCAGAGGAGCCAGAGCTTCCCACTGCTCCGTGGGGCAGGATGGAGGTGCCTGGAAGGAGGAGAAGAGCAGCCCCACGTCACCCACTCCCCCCCTTAACCTGCCCAGGGGCCCTACCAGCTCCTGCTCATCCGCAGCCGGGGTGGTGGTGTATCCGTAGGGATAGAGCAGGAGCTGGGAATAGCTGTGGATGGACACGAAGGCCTTGATGTTCCCGTGGCCCGTCACAAAGTCCACGATGGATTTGACCTCAGGCTCCGAGTTGGGGTAGGGGCCATGGTAGGTCTCAGTGCAGGAGCTCCCGCTGGACCCAGCCCCTGTGGGGAACAGGAGAGGGAAAACAGGGTGGGCTTTGGTGGCACTTGGGTGGCTGAAAGAGTCCCAAGGGAAAAAGGGTCTTTTCCCTTTTCAACCCCAAGAGTTTTTCCCACCCCTCAGGTGTGGACGGCGAGGAACACTCCTGAGGCTCCTCCTGGAGATCTGTGTGGAGACTTTCCCTTGTGGTCCCCACTCTGCTGCTCATCAAACCCTGGCGGGGCCCCCAGCCCTTGTCTCTGCCACGCAGAGCAGATCCCACCTCATCCCCAGGGATCTGTGAGCCGGGAATGGCCTCGGAGCCTCCACCTGGAGAGTGGGAACGCCCCGGAGGGGGAGTGGGAAGGCTCTGACCTCCAAATCCCGCATCCCAGTTGCGGTTGGGGTCGACGCCGACGCAGATGTTACCCGGGTACTTGGACCTGGTCTTGCGCCACATGCGGTTCTGGGAGGGCAGAGCCACCTCAGCTGCTGGGCAGGGCCAGGGAGTGCCCTCCCCATCCCATGGAAATGGGACAGGGAGGCTCTGACCCCCCAGGGAGGAGCAGCGCCCCAGTCCTGCTTCCCTTCCCATCCCATGGGAACAGGGACAAGGAGGCTTTGACCTCCCAGGGATGAGCAGCTCCCAGTGCTGCTCCCCTTCCCACCCTGTAGGAAGCAGGGAGGGGGAGCTGGGGGTGGTACCGTGCTGTGGGTGTAGGCAAAGCCATCGGGGTTGGTGACGATCTCCAGGAAGATGTCCATGGTGTCCAGGATGGAGGCCACCCCTTCGTTATTGGCGTGGTCGTCGACGATCTACAGAGGACAGGAGGTTTGGGGCTCCCTGGGGGTCACCCCCTGGGTCCCACAGTGGCTGCAGGACCTTTGGGGGACAGAAGGTGGGCGTGGGGAGCGTCCAAACCTTCTTGGCAAACCAGACCCCGCTGGCCTGAGTCACCCACTCGCGGGAGTGGATCCCGGTGTCGATCCACACGGCCGGGCGGTTCGAGCCCCCTGTGCTGAACTGGGACAGCAGAGAGGTGGAAGTTGGCTTTGTCCTTTGTCCCTGACCTCGCTCCCCCCTCCCTGGTCACCCCCCAGACCCCGACCCCTCACCTTGAGCACGTAGAGGGGCCGGTCCTCGGTGGAGCGGCCGATCTCCAGTTTGCTCACCAGGTTGGGGTTCTCGGCCACCAGCAGGTCCATGAAGGCGTAAATCTGGGAGAGAGGGATGAGGAGGGGGGGATTGTTCTCAAGCAATTCCAGGATGCCACTTTCCCCCCCACAAAATGCCCCGAATCTTATGTCTCTCACCTCGTCCAGGGTGTGATAGGCCTCGTAGTTGAAGGTGCTGGTGGAGAGCGGCAGCTGGCGGCTGCTCCGCATCATCTCCCTCCGCTCCTCATCCAGCAGTTCCTGGGGGACACGGGGCAGGATGGGCCCTAATTCCCACTGGGATGAGGCCCTGAGTCTCAGTCAGCTGCCCTCCTCCTCCACTGACCTGCACATCCTCGATCATGATGGAGTAGGACACCCCGGCGGCCTCCAGGTGAGCTTTGACGGGCTGCAGGCTCGGGAAGGGCACCCGGATATCCACGGGAGAACCGAGGCCACGGGGGGCCAGCCAGAAATCCAGCTGGACAGGGAGAAATCCAGGTGGGAAAGGGGAGAAACTGAGATCCTGCCTCCAACCTAGCCCCAGCTGCTGTCCAGATTGGTTCCCACCATCCCAAATCCAGCCCCATCCCAGCTTTACAGCAGGGACGGTGTAAAACAAGGGATACAGGCTGGGGGGGTTGTCCTCCAAATCCAACCCCAAATCCAAGACCAAAATCCCATTTCAAAATCCAACCCCCAAATCCCACCCTGAATCCAAGTCCAACCTCAAAAACCCACTCCAAAATCCAACCCCCAACTCCAACCCCAAAATCCAATTCCACCTCCAACCCCAAAATCCAATTCCACCTCCAACCCCAAAATCCAATTCCAACTCCTACCCCAAAATCCAACCCTCAAATCCAACTCCAACCCCAAACTCCAAACTCCAACCCCCAAACCCAACCCCAACTCTAACCTCAACATCCAACCCCAAAACCCAACCCCCAATCCAGCCCCAAAAACCACCCCTAAAA